ACGCGGGTGCCGAGCAAGATTCTTGGCACAAGGGCCGTCATTTTGTCGAAAAGCGAACGCTTCGCGGCGTTCCACCCTGACGTATTATTTCGCCTGGTAATAACGTGTAATCTCGTCGCTCGATATCGACGTTAATGCAAATACACTATAGCGTGATAGCGTATAGACTGTTGCTTACATTTCGTGCGTTGTAATTCAATTATAAAATTACAGGTAAGAAAAAATATACGGCAGAATTTGATGGCGAGAATAAGTTAATTTTTGAAAGTGGCTTTCGTCAACGTGAAATTATCCGAGCTGCGCAGTCAAATTATAAAATCACAGGTGAAACTATACTTGCAGAATATTATGGCGGAATTAAATTGATATTTGAAAGTGGCTTTTACATTGTTGTAACTCGATTATAAAATTACAGGTGAAAAATGTATCATCGAATACTATGTGGGATTGAATTTATTTTTACAAGAAACTTTGGAACGCCTAAGGATTAAAAACCTGATCGATTTTACCAGCTCGTTATATCACGGAGAGTATATATATTAGGGTTACTTTAATCCCTAATGCAGAACGTAGGTGTACTACGCGTGATACGAGTCTTGCTACATGGATCGGTGCCACAAAGTATTTGATGCTTCAATTTAGGGGCTTGCTGGATCATGGAACCTACTATTACTTCCTGCTAACCTATATGAAATTTCGATGCACGACAGAAGACTATATAGAAGCCTATATAGAAGACTATATAGAAGACTATACTCCAATCAGACCTAACCAAAAAATTTTGGAATCTAGACTTGGGTAAAATTTGGCAAGTTTCTAGTAATTTTTTACCCCGATGTTCAGACATGTAACCTCTAACTTCTGACCGATTTTACGATCTGGCTATATCCTAAAGGCTACTGTACTTTATCTATGCCGTAGTAGGCTATCTCCCGATCGAAACGGTGCTCGCAAAGGTGGACGACTCACTGTGCAGCTATTTAATCAACCGGCGATCTATCGATTCAGACCCCTTTGGGAGGAACCGCGATACACTAGGCTAGTTCTATTAACTAGGCGATTCTGTTCACAGCGTGTAGAGAGTTTTGGTGTATTGTTGGATCGATGGAAAGATGCCTAGGGGAAATTACTAGACTCGCTGGAAATAGGTATAAACCCTTGGAATTTTTGTATACTTTCTTAATCAAAAACTATCTATCACATTTTTATAAACAGAATATTCCAGGTGATTTTCGTGGCTCGATTACCATAATCTGTACAGAAAAATTGTCCTATTCTACAAAACTATTTAACCACATTAAAGGATAAAGGAAAGAGTAATTGATCTTTCGATTCAGCTTCTATACATCAGCTTCTGAGGTACAAATCGTTATTAGAATTCGCTTAAACAATTAGGAAGAGAATAACGTTGAATCATTTCGTAAAGTCTAGTTTCTCCTGTCATTTAAAAGCTATTATAAAATAATCGATAGTCGCCATAGTCACCCGGTGAACTCAGAGTTTTGATCTGTTATTTATATTTCATCGAGCTAAAGACAACGCAGCCCAGAAAATGTTTAACGATTCCGTGGTGTTGTATCGATTTCTTTCTTTCCTTTTCTCGTTAAATTTAAAATAATCCACGATGGTAATTGCAGGATGCGATTAGTCAGTCGTACTAATTATACGTGGACTGATTGATACGTGACGTGCTCACGATGTTTGCTCATTGGATACACGGTTTTATTCGTTCGCTGCAATCAACCGATAATTAAACTTCCTGCGGAGGCTGAGCGATCTGTGACTACATGCTGAAACTATGAGCCTACTTCCCTTAATTGAACACGCCAATTCAACACTATCCAAAACGCATCATTAAAGAACCACGCAACCAGAATAATTAAATTGCACACGCTATTCACGATTTATATGATCGTTCTCTCGTCGACGTCAAATTGTTTCAAAATTCAAAATCCTTGTAAAATCTAAAATTTCTAGAGTGAATACTGCTTCAGGCTAGAAACAGGAATCTATAAAGAAACATATAAAGAATGTGGGTTTGCATCTAAGCAGATATTTCCGGAAAGAGTCGATGTCATGTTGTTTTTAATTGAACCACTTGTCAATTCAAGACCAAAGTTCAACGACCTCTTCTCAACAACAACAACCAGGAATTGCATCATCGAAGAGAGAACGTTGCAATGGAGATGATAAGAGGAAGAACTCGGCTGGAAAAGAAGGCTTCCTTTAGCAAAGCTCGTCTTGTGGGCGATTTTACGCCGATGCGTCGTCCCACACGACGCAACGACGACGTCGTGACACACGAGGAAGTGTCCACTAACGAGTGAGCTCCGACGACGACCTAAATCGTCGAGGCGAACGCATCACGCGTTTGAATTCCGGTGTTTGATCCAGACCGAAACGAGAAGAGCAAAACCTACTACGTCGCACTCGGTTAGAAGAACCGCGATGGCTTCGTTACCGAGTCATCATCCTCTATCCACGCTAAAACATCGATTTCCTCTCCCTTCGGAATCTCGGGTAACTACCGGGTAAAATACAGTTCCTTAATTAACTGGCACATTTTTCTGCTAGTTCGCAGTTTATTATAAAAAATAGTAGATAATATTTGAATTAATTGAGACGTTTGATTTCAGGAAGAGCCGAGATAAAAAGTCTAGACTCCGTTTGCAATATCCTTATCAACGGGTATATTTTATCTGAACAAGTTCAGACTCAGGAAATCGTCATTAAAAGCAGTTGATAATTCAGCTATGCGATACAGTCTGGCACGAAATAAGATAACGAGCCATGAAAAGATCTACTAGCAACTACCAACAAAGAAGAAAGCTATACAACTAGATCCACGAAGCTGAAAACCCACAGCTTCCGGCCCAGACCAAGACCTCCACCCAGGCCTCGCGAAGAATATAATACTCTTCATTCAAAGAAACCGACGAATTAGCTGTTTTCTGTCCGATTCTCGGGTAAACCAATTAAGAGAAAAACCAATCCAATTAAGAGGTCGATATCAACAAAAGAGTCGTCGCGAAGTTGCCAGACCAGAGGACTTTCTCCGATATCTGTTCCCCAAGGCGAGTCGACATTGTGCATGTTTTCTCTGCAGATCCTATGAATATTGAACTATAATAGGAGTGACGGATGATCATTTGGCTGTCTCGCAGCTTCTATCCGAGGATCAGTGACACGAGGTAACCGAGACGGGTAGGAGGTGGATGGAAGCATGACAAGAAACGACAGTGGGTCGTGTCGGTGTCGGTCGTTGGGTCGACGAAGCCAGAGGATGAATGGGTCTGGCCCTGGGGTGGTTCACCAGCTGACTGGGGTTGTCGTCATGGCAACGAACCAACCCGGGAGCAACGCCCCTCCCCTACAAAATTCATATGTATAGTTCTCTCCCTCAACCCCCGTTTCTAGCTCAGTCCTTTCGTTTTCTCTATCTCTATCCCATAGTCATGCTCTATCGTGCTACCTCTTTCTATTTTATAGTCTATTACACTCGGTTTCTCCGCTTTTAATTCCCTTTCTCCCTACCATTGCTCTTCCTTTACTCACTCAGGGTAGGTCTTATACAGATGTTCCTTTTTCTTCAAACCGTTTATCTGTGTGTGTACGTGCATGTAATCGAGGAGTTAGAAAGGGTGTAACTTGTTCGGTGACTGTGTTATGGGATATTAGAAGTTGGGGCTGTATAGATGGCGGAGCTAGTGGGCTTCAGAAGTTTGATACCGTGGATGATGTTATTCCTAGGAATTTGACAATGTTCTCTGGTGTTCTAGAAAGTTTGATGTTTGTCCCAGCGCTATCTTTGCAAGATTTTGGAGAAGTATCCGAGTTCCGATTGTGTAGTGGACGTAGTTTAACACGTTTAACACTATGGCAGCTACTGGAGTCCTTACATTCAAGCCTCGTTGGACACCAATGATCCATACAGCATCAAAAGCCAACAATGGAGTAAATACACGATGTATTACATTCTTTCTGATATTTGATATTTCATCTTGACGAAGGTAATAATGATTTTTGATGCTACTTCGGAACTCCTAATGGGATTTTAATCTATAAGTCACCTCTTACGTGACAACAGCATTTTGTCGCTGCGGTCATGCGTCACGTGGTAGATGACAAGACGGAAATCTTTCGCATATTTACCGAAAGTAACTAGAATCTAGTGAGAATCAAGTATAAGAAGCTAGCGACCGGTAAGGCTTAAGAAATACCATTTCGTTAATAATTTTTAGAACAATACTTAACTTTTGATGCTGTTTGAATAGGAGATTAAAAATGTTTCGAAATTCCGTATCTCGAATCTATCGTTGGAAGCACTGCACAGGAAGGAGAGAAACGGAAAGAACTGGGGACCAAGTGAGTCGCAAGAATGTGCGAAGAACTCTAACTCTGAAGCATACTAACGGAGAATTACGAAATGAACGGACGTCCGTTCACTGTTTTTTGCGAAACTCCTGGACGAATGAAACAAGGCGGTTCACACGTGTCTAGCATGTTTATGAGACTAGGAATTTCATATGGAGGATTTTGTAATCATGCTCGGGTCAATCTCTATTTTAAACGCTGATCTAATGTATAATGAGAAATACGGAAAACGAAAAAAATGGAATTAAACTAAAAAGTAGGTAAATATATGATTATATATAACATAGTCCAACGAAAATATAAAACAAGAAAAATATATATACAGGGAAAGAAGATGGGTTAGGTGATTCTAGCATGTTTACGAGGCAAGGAATTTCATATGGAGGATTTTGCAATCATGCTGGGACCAATCCCTATTTGAAACGCTGACCTAAGTATAATGAGAAACACAGAAAAATATAGAAATAAGAAAGATATAAAACAAATAGAAAATAATAAAAATATATATACAGGGAAAGAAGATGGATTAGGTGATTCTATCGAGGAGTAGATATAGACGTTTTAACATTACCTGGTGATGGATGCAAGAGTTATAAGTAATTAATCGAAGCTTTATCAAAGGATACATATATCTGATCCCTCCCATATCGGACTTGGAGGTTTCGATTGATTCCCGTTTCATCGATGTCGCTGATGACTGTCATATCCGGGACACCCAACTCGGGGCTTGAGCCTGAAACAGAAAAGAAAATGGCCGTCAGATCGAAATTTTTAACTATAAAACAGACGACATTTTTTAATAACACAAATTTATTATAAACACATTAATAAAATTGTTATATGAGCCGTTCACTGCACAAATTGATTAACTCCATAAAACAAAAAGTGGAGAAACGCAATGAAATAATGTATATTGTTTTTTAAAATTCCCTTTATAATTGAAATCGAAATAGATATCGTAGAATGCATAAATACAAATGTAACTTTCATCTAACGGTATATCAAATTTATGAGAAAAAATAGGCAAAAGGTGATCGTTAGTAATGTTACCATTTTTATGTTACTGGAAGAGTTAATCGATTTGGCAAGTGAAGAAAGTAATAAATTTAAATTGTACTAAATTTTACTTAAATTCTGATAAGACTGCACTAAAGAATTCACCGTTGTCATTCGTGGCTCGCCAGTGCATTTGAGTTGCATTATTGCAACGATTTACATTAGAGTACGGAGTTAATCAAAGTGCCCTCGGAAATAAATTATTTATTATTCAGTGGCCAACAAATTTTTGTCGTTTAATGGTGTTAACCTTAATCACCAGGGAAAGTTATTATAAATATAAAAAGTTACGACTATACCAAGTGCTTTGACACTTAAATTTAAGATTGTTCAAAAAGTGGAGTTAATCGATTCGTGCAGTGAACGGCTCATATGTCGATATTTCGTGTATTATTACACAGAGAAAATTAATTATCGTCATTCGTATTGTACCGAGGCAAATGGCGACTGCAGTCGTCCTTCGAATGCAAGGAATTAAATTAATCAAATGGGTATATAATTCGTTCAGTATGTACAACGTCGTTTAAAGTATTTTTATTTAAATTTTTAATTTATTTAATTAATTTTTTTCTTTTTTTATTGCAAATTATTAGACTCGAATGCTCTTCTGCTCGATTGCCTTAGCTTATTAGGGTGTCGGTCACCCGAGCTTATGCGAGCACTTAACATTGGTCCGTTTAGAAGGAACGCGATATGGAAACCTGGCAAATTCTCTGACCACCTGTTGTGCTGTCCGATAATACCGAACGCGATGATTCCTTGTCGCCACGAGTGGTCAATTTCCAACACGATTGAGGTGTTAATAGGAAGCCGCTATAATATTGAATCAAACACGAACTTGGTCCCATACAAAATTCCCTCCTTTATCCTAAAATTTGCCTACAACCTACGCGCTGCCAGATTAACCCATAAACTTCGTATAACTAGGTATTAATATATAATTTCATTATACCAGACATAATAACTAATAAATACTTCCATTCTAAAGAAAATTTGTTTTTTAATATCATTGAAAGCCTATAATCATTCGCTTAGTATAGAATTTTCTTATTATTCTATAGTTTAAAAATAATTTGGCTTTTTAATACTCATTCAAATCTATTTCGCGCAATTTTGTTCGATCATTTAATCGAATAGACCTATATCGATTTTTACTATATTTGAATAAATATTCCGAAGGTAGTAATTTTTTACCAAGGTTCCTGCGAACTGTATCACAAAGTACAAAGCCTCCTCTGTAAAATCAATCTTGATTCATAATTCTACGATTTTTTCCTGTCGAGATACGCCACTTTGAAGTTACCCGAGGAACGCTGCAAATCATACAGCGCTATCGCTTTTGTCGCGTACTGTATTTGCTCGTGGTATTCAAAGACATCTCAATTTCATAGCCGTTAACATTGATTAAAACGCGTAAGTAACGCGCGTATTACATCGCGTAATTCTCGCGGAATTCAATGGAATCAGTGTTACGAGGTTTCAAGGAAAGATTCCAGCTGTTTGATCGCAATCTCGATTTAATTAGCGTGCCCTTGCGATGACGAATCGACTGCGGGATCGCGCATGCAGCGCTAACCCCAAACGCGGTGGCCTGTGATGTAACTACTGCGGTTTGCCCCTTTTCGCCGGTTCATTAACCGATCCTTTGTACATCACCTACATCCGCGACACTTTTTTTCTCCCGTTGCGGTTTATCGACGGGCAAACAGAGAAGGTTGGAATTAAACTCGAGACCACATCGCGTCCTTCGCGGCTTTCGACGAATCACTCGCGTTTCTTCGAAATTCTACTCGCATAGATGGCACTTCTGTCTACCGGTTTCATGATTTCAGAATTTCAAACCTCGATACTTCCTTTCCACCAAAACGCAATTTAACGAAGAAAGGAAGAGCAATACTGAGAATATCGTCATTCTTTGATCATTTTCTGAATGCCTAAGAAATGGGCGCTTAAAAATCCTGTGCTTGCGATATTGTAGGTTCCTAAAGGCGCTCAAAATTCATTTTTGCTGTTAAATTTTAAGTTTGTACAATAACAGTTTAATACAAAATACAAAGAAATAAATAATGTTGTTTTAATGTAGTAGAATATAGCGTTTTGATTGTTATTTGAATATACAATAATTTTTCAGGAACCTAACCTAACAAAAAGTTTCACCGTTCTCAATGCATATTGCAAATGGATCCCTACCGTATGGTATGGGTGGTGCGTTTCAAAATCTGCCGTTAATAATAGTCATAGGGTTAATAATTTTTAAAATTTGTAACTTTTTTATAATTCTTTAGGGGCATTTTAACTTCGAATGGGACAATATGATTATTCCGGAAGTGACGCAGCCATTCTAAGGGCTAGCAGAAAAACTGTTAGAAATTATGGGAGAAACTATCAAATTTCGCGATAGTTAGCGAGGCGGTGTACGAGGAGTCACGTGACGCACGACCTTGTGGAAATAGGACCATGGCAGCTGACATGCAGGTGCAGCATGTTTGCAGGTGCATAAGCGCTTGTACTGCCGCGGCACCTGCGCACCGCAGCCACGTGGTCCGCCGCGATGATTGGAGATGATGCCCTAACCGGATGGAACCAGATTTTTTTTCCATGCTTTCACGTCATATTCGACCAGCGTCACTGAAATTACCCGAAACGGGGAAATAAGAGTGACAAAGCCGTGTAATTTGACGTCTTGATTTTAAATAACGCTATTAAAAACGATACTGCAAGGGAGAAGTAAAAAAAATTGATTAACTTTTATATACACGGAAATTTCACGAAAGGCAATTTACTTTTAATAAAAATGTAAAGAAGCATTAAAAAGGAAATGAATCTTCGTGAATACACGCTTTGGATTTATAGGTAATCCCACTCGTAACGCGGTCACTGCAGTCGGTTTCCTGCATTAGGGCGTGTTTGCAAGAAAGCGGCACAGCTTGATGCACAGTTCTCATGCGAACTCGTGACTCGATGCAATACTCTCAGTATCAAATTTCCGTAGCGCTTGGATGATATTCTAACGAAGGTTTGTCTCATTTTTTCCATCAATTGGACGATCCAATATTCGTTAGTTTTCCATATCGTTTCTGTCGCGCATTGTAAATGATTCATTATCAATGGCCCCGGATCAGCTTCTCGGAAACGACGAAGCTTCTAGACATAGTATTTAGACAAGAATGTAGCCAGAAACGATTACTCGTGATTCATAGATGGCGCGCGCGATTGTCATCCGATGCTACAACATTCGGGTGTTCAGTTTGTCGAGACTCTACCGGTAATTTGGGTAAAAACACGCGATGGCGGGATAAGATATCGCGAAACATGGACACGTTAAAACATCGACGAATTTTTCGATTTAACGCTTGGCAACTACTTTCGCATTTTTTTATGGTCACCGTAAGTACTGCAATTACCTACAGGATATGTATTTTACCCGTATCATTTTAGCAAATTTTATTCATATTTTTTAAACGATTCCTATATAAGTATATAGAAAGGTGTGCTGTAAATAAAATCAAATTTGAAGATATTCCGGGTGATTTAAATTATAATAGTCATAGGAAGGTAATAAAATCACCATTCGAATACGCTGGGTTACGTGATGCAATAGGTATCGAACTATACATTGTAGTGCCGTATGGTGGAAATGAACCCGAGAATAATTCACAGCGAAGGGAGAAGCAAACGCGGTTAGAATATTCTAATGTAAAAGGAAGGACACGTAGAGGGTGGCATATTTTATCAGTCTACCATAATTATTCATCTCTATCTCCCGACTTTTACGGCTAAAATGAAAAGACTTTCACTTCATCTTGTATTCTATTCTTCCAACAATGAAACCCCTAAAAAAAAAAATCCCTAAATGAATATATTTGAAACGCTGACTTTTTAAACCAAATTTCATTTTTTTCACGAATTCTAAAACGTATATTTCCTACGTACATATGCACCTCTGTATACAAAATGCACGTTACACGAGATAAACATGGCGTCCGTCACGTGAGTGAAATATATCGACGAGCGTAAAACATAACCTTCACATGGGTTCCTATGTACCATTTACAACTGTGCATAAAAATTCGAATCGCTCGATAAAATCGAACACAGTCGTGTTCCTTGAAGAATTGCACGATATTATACAAAGGTAGAAACGATTTTAACGAGCCTTCGCGAGCTGTGTTCTTTTCATATTCAATTAGAAACCATCGAACTTACTCGGTAATTGCAGTTTCCTTCGTCACGTATTTGCATCTCTCTCAAGGAGCTGGGCTTATTTAATTTTCTCCTTGTTTTGTTCCTCCGCTTGTCCTTACTACCGCATCTACCTTTTACGGTGTGCCACCTTCGAGGAACCTCGTGCTGTCGATCGAGGCCGAAGCTTTCGTGCAACGATTCGACGACAGTGCAGACCCGAAGTGTTCTCAGGGAGGTCGACGACACGTAACAACGGGAGGAAATAATTAACTCGTCGCATTATCATATACGGAACACCGGCGTATTAACCTGACCGAAAAATCTTTCGAGTCTTGTCGAATACACGACTCGTCCGTTGCTAAATAGGGTTATGTTTGCACGCTTGATCGACGTCTGGACATTTCGCTGGTTTTCAACGTTTATTTAATCAAAGTGAAAGATTCGATACCGAATTTTACGTTTATATCGGGTCCTACGATTTATCTAATTAATTATATCTACGCGGTTAACAGATATTTCGAAAAGAGGTTATGTCTCGATCGTAAATGTCAATACGCTTGGAGAGAACGTGATTGCACGAATTCGTGTAAAATATATTTTTTGACGTTTATATCCGGTGATTCATTTCACGGGCACGAAATTCCGAGGAAACCTGCTTCTACCAGGATGCTGCCGTGACTCACTCGTTCGAGATGTCCACGATATATGTACACGCGTAAAAAAGTTTCTCGGATAGTCAATCTGGATCACCGTAAATCGAATTTCGCACAAATATGCTTATATATTTCCGAAGATATTGCCTCGTTGATATTCGTACGAGGCGTCTCGTGTTTACCGAACGAGATCTTTACGTTTATCGATCGTGACTGCCGAATCGATTAGACAGACGTGAAGTTGGCTTCCTCGAAACGCGTGTCGCCACTATACGTGGAATTATAGGTAGCTGATTTCGTATCAATCAACATTACGAAATATCTAAATACCGACGAATTAGATATACGAATGGAATAAATTTAATTCGATTATTCTGCTTAAATATACATAATTTCAGTAGATGCCTTTAGATTATTAT